AAAAAAAAAAAAAAAAAATCGCCGGGAGATTTTATAATCCGAAAGAACGAAATGTGAATTTCATTTCCAATAACCGAAAAAATCGAAAACGAGCTTCTGGAATGGACGGAGCAAACAAAACTAAGAGATTCACCGTGGAGACAGCTCTGATGACAGAGGAGGATGCTGGAGGAGGAGCGGCGGCGGCGCGGAAAGCCGGCGGGCGCTTAGCCAGGAGAAGATAATTGGAAGCGCTTTTCAAGCCACCGAAGGTCGCCGGAATCTGGAGCGTGGGGTCGTTGACGGTGGCAGCCCCTAACGAATTCATCATTCGAAAAAAAAAAATGAAGAAGAAACAGAAAAAGCCCTAGAAAGAAATAGAGGGCTTCTTAGGTGATGAGTGGTGTGATGGCTGCGGTATGAACTAATTTATTTGAAAAGTTACATGAAGAAGCTTACCAAATAAGCTCGAATTTTTTAAAAAAATTTATCAAACCAAACGTGACAAGGAACTTATGAGGTAACCGAATAAATTATAAGCTAGTTTATTTGTGTACGAAATCTAATTGTAACAACACATATTAATTCATTTACACGGGCGGGGGCCATAAAATGTCATTTTTGTGTGAGAGACTGGCGCGTGAGATGAAGCGACTCGGCCTTACGTTCTGAAGCGAACTTGGTCTTGCAAAGGCGAATTTAGAGTGGTTAACCCAAACCTGGATACGTTGAACGTGGACATATTCGTGGCGTTGGGAATAAAGGTCCTTCGCAATAATTTGAATGGAATAAAACATTTTACTTACATTCTCTCCTATCTATTAATATATAATAAGGATTAACTTAATTTATTTTTAGAAAATCTTTCCCGCCAAATTTATTAATTACACTCTAAAAATAGTAACTTAACACACTTTCATTAATTATTGCTTAATTATATGCCTCTGTTTTTCCGATTTTTTTTCTTTTATGATATGGAATGAAAATCCTAATCAATCTCCGATTTTTGTCTCCATATCAATCACAGAGATAAAAAACTGAAAAAAATGGTAACATGATTTTGAAGTTACGTATATTCGTTTTTGTTTAAAATATTAGATAAATTTATTTTTGATGAACCCAAATATATAGATTCC